ATAAGCCACAGGGCGTTTTATCTCCTGCAGATGGGGTGGAAGTGAAGCTAACATCCGAAGGAGATACATCTCCTGTTGATCTGAAGGGGAAGTCTGAAGGAAATGCACATCCTGCTGATAGACGATCCAGAATTAACTTAGGAAATAATATATCCTTAGATCAAAGAGAGACAGCTAACTGTATGATGTACAGTCGCATGGATTCGGTAAATTCTGCAGAAAACTGTGTAGCATCAGTAGCTAATGAGGTTCCTGAACCCGAATTCTACAACTTTGATGCTGAGAGATCACTGGAGAAGTTTCAAGTTGGTCAATTTTGGGCAATTTACGGTGATGAAGACGCCATGCCGAGGTACTATGGCCAGATAAAGAAGATAGATCCTTTCCCTAATTTTACCTTGCACGTGGCTTGGCTTTATGCCTGTCCACCACCTAAAGGTATAATACAGTGGCGTGATAAAACAATGCCAATTGGTTGTGGAATGTTTAAGTTTAAAAACAGAAAGCTGAACACATATACGGAAACCAATGCTTTTTCGCATCAAGTAGGACCACAACCTATGGAGAAGAAGGGTGCCTACAAGATCTTCCCCAGAACAGGTGAAGTTTGGGCAGTTTATAAAAACTGGAGTGCTCAGCTGAAATGTGACAAACTGGAAGATTGTGAGTATGAAATTGTTGATGTTGTGGATGTTACTGATAAGTACATATCCTTAAAGTTCTTAATACGGGTAAACGGTTTCAAGTCTGTCTACAAGCCTCAAGTGAAAGAAGAGGAAAATGGAACAGTGAAAATATCTCTAGCCGAGCAACTCAGGTTCTCTCATCAAATTCCTGCTTTTCGCCTGACAAAAGAGAGAGGTGGCATCGTGCGAGGTTTCTGGGAGCTTGATCCAGCAGCAATGCCTGTTTATTTACTTTGTACAGACTGAATAAAGGCGACGCGAAGCAGCATTTAGCTTCTCTTTATTTACCCTATCACAAAATGTGAAGATATTTGTACAGGATGGTCATGCCTATTATCTTATCTTTTCTTAGTTTATATTCTAGCCCCAAATGTGAAGGGTTTTGCACAGGAGTTAGTTTATATCTCTGGATACATTTGCTGAAACGCTCCCCAGGCTATGCCTTTGAACTTAGTTTAATAGTCTTTGTTTGAACNCAAATGTAACTGTGAAAATATCTCTACCCGAGCAACTCAAGTTCTCTCATCAAATTCCTGCTTTTCGCCTGACAGAAGAGAGAGGTGGCATCGTGCGAGGTTTCTGGGAGCTCGATCCAGCAGCAATGCCTGTTTATTTACTTTGTACAGACTGAACAGAGGCGACGTGAAGCAGCATTTAGCTTCTCTTTATTTATCCTATCCCAAAATGTGAAGATATTTGTACAGGATGGTCATGCCTATTAACTTATCTTTTCTTAGTTTATATCCTAGCCCCAAATATGAAGGTTTTTGCACAGGAGTTAGTTTATCTCTGGATACATTTGCTGAAATGCTCCCCAGGCTATGCCTTTGAACTTAGTTTAATAGTCTTTGTTTGAACTGATATGCAGCTTTTGTGAGCAGCTAAATTATGAGTAATGGGTGCTCATTGCCTTGTTACCAGTTGAATGTTATGTTTAAGTCCTGAATTTTAGCTCCTCTGGTTTCTTACTTCACAGTTCAGTATTACATTGCTAATATTAGATGTGAAACAGTGAAAGGTAATCATGTTTTCTTTATTGTTCCAAGCCAAGGTATACTACATTTTTAGTATAGGTACTTGAGTTAACTATAAAAAGATACTTTTTTCCAGGATCTTTTTCATTCCCAAACCCGAGATCTCTGGTTAAGGTGATCCTATCCATTTCACAACAACCTTTCGTGGTACATAAATGATATATTACTATGCACTCTCTTCTCTCTGCTAATGCCTCTTCATATCTCTTTTTCCCGTTTAACTTATTGTTGATGTTGGTGACAGTGCCGAGAATCTTGAGCAATTTCACAATCATGTGGTCCAAGTTCCATCATATGATAGCAAAATTTATCAGAACTGAGAAGACTGAGGCTAAAGGGGAGTTATGTTTGATGACGACGATGAGGTTGTTGTTATTGAGACAATTTCTGCTTGTTTTCTTTCCTCAATTAAGTCAAACTCTCCTTGAGCTATGAACAACGAGAGGCAGCAATTGCAGGGTTCTTTTCATGGGGTTGTTTCAGAAACCAAAACACATGAAGAATGCCACAGATTAGCCAAATTCACACCCTTTATTATAAGGCTAATGAGGAAGTATTTGAAGATTGATGTTCAGTTTGAATATGACTAGATTTTTAGCAACTGTACCCTGCCTTGGAACTTACATTTTTGTCAATAGCTTAAGGAGGTACACTATCTTTGTGGTGACTGTTTCTGTTATTACATGGTTACCGTAGGGGTGTTAATGGTTTGGTTCGGCCGATTATTTTATAAAATTAGTATCATATCAATTTTTTGGTTATTTTATTATGTATAATCAAAATTAGACTTTTCGAAACCGTCCCAATTATGTTGGTTTCTATTTGGTATCGGTATGGTTCGGTTAATTTTCGTATTTTTGTAAATATCATGTAAAATTCACCAGTAGAAGTAGAATGCAATAACATATGTTCTTTTATAGGACGTAACAAAACTCTCTAGACATTTTTACTGTTTAAAAGGTGAATAAAAAATGAAAGATGACTAGAGTATAGACAAAGACAAAGAAAATATAAATCACACGAGTGAAAAGATATTAACCAAGCTATGACTCAAGAATAAAGTTTATAGAAGGTTAAATATTCAAAAAGATAAATCTAAATTATATGAAAGGAAATATATCCAATACATTGTAGTTTGCTACTGATAATCGCTAGAATATTTTGTGTCTTGTTAAGATACTTGAAATAACTTAGTTTAAGTAGAAGTAGCATAATAGGTTTTAGGAATTTATATTTTGAGTTTAATTACTTGTTGGCTTGTAACAATTTTCATAATTCCAAGGCCCAAAGAAAACTTTAATGCATTTTTTTAAAACTTACTATATAAATATATTTTCCACATGTAAAATTTATTCGGTAAGGTTCGGTATTTTTTCGGTTTATTTTTATAAAATAAAAAACCTACCTTAACTATCGAGACGGTTATAGATTTATATAAAAACCTACGATTTTTTTAAAAGAAATCTAAAAATCGATTCGATCAGTTTAATCGGTTTTCGAATATTCACTGACACCCCTAGCTACCATACTATTCCTTTTTTAGTTAAAACTGTGTTTCAACATTGTAAGTTAGTGCTTTGCAGCACTCACTTCCTTGCGCAAAAAAAAAAAAAAGAAAAAGAAAAAAAAAGAGGAGAAAATATGGTGAAAATAGCAAAAACAATTATTCAACCTTTTTCATTTATAACATATTTCCATGCTGGTTAACAATTTTCTTGTAGTTTATTATCTTAATTATGATCACTCTATTGGGTACATTTTGTAACATAATTTTCTTGTATACATGACAATTGCTTAAGATCACATAGAAAATGATACAAGGGAGTGCGACAAAGAAAAAGAAGAATAAAAGTTAATTGAAGAAATGATCAAACAACCAACAATCGGAGAGTAGCATGACGAATATCATTAGAAAAGTCAATTAGCTTATCGTTATCCAATCAAAGTCTAACACAAGCTTGCTTAGAAGTATTTCAATAAAAGATAACAAAAGTTGATGATTAAATAAGAAAAATAATTGGGCTTTAGAACAAACTGGGCATTTGGTCTAGTGGTATGATTCACGCTTTGGGTGCGAGAGGTCCCGAGTTAGATTCTCGGAATTCCCCCTTTTTCTCAACACTTAATTGTTTTTTTGCTCAATTTCAACACTAGCTTAATACGACGCTGTTTCAATGCTTTTAACTGCCTAGTTTCTGTGCAGATTCTTGGACACTTGCTTATTAAAGTCTAGATGTACAACTAATTATTTTCCTTACAGACTAATATATATGTTTACCTATTTTATAACTTTAAATGAAGAAGCAAATCCAACCTATTTTACCCCTCTTTGTTGGCCGTGAAACAAGCCTTTGTTTTCCTTTTTGTAACAGAATATAGGGGTGAAATTCAAAAATAGCCATATTTACATACGGTAATTGAAAACTAGCCACAGTTTCAAAAGTAATCGAAATTTAACCACTATTTATATAAAGATAAATCTGAACGAAAACACTGTTCAAAATCCGAAAAATATTTCGGCATAATACTGGAGTTCGAATTTTTTACATGTTAACTTCCAGCATAATATACCGGAGTTCCAGCATAATATGCTGGAAGTTTATACACAAGTGCGCTAATCTCCAGTATATTATGCTGGAATTTTTTGTGTTACAGCAAAATAATGGCTATTTTTTAATGACTTTGCAAATGCTGACTATTTTTTAATTACCAGTTCAAAAACTAACTAGCCCGTGCTATTTTTATAGAATATAGTGATGTGTGCGTTGCTAACGGTAAATACAGGTAAGCCATAAATATCATGGCCTTAAGATAGTTGGAATGCATGTAATGCAAAAAAAAAAAAAAAAAAAAATTACTACAGCAAGAGTATTAAAATAATTTTTTTTCTTTTAAACAACATAAACTATTTGAGAAGCATTTTAAAATAGTCTTATGTCTCATTTTTTATGATAGAAATAATATTTGAGAAGCATTTAAAAATATTTTGAATAACAACTACTACTCAAAATATTATACTTGTATAATTTTATTAAAAACCTAACAAATTGATGTCAGATACTATATAAAATTTTGAACCAATTTTTTTTCCAAGGGAGGAGTTTTTGTTAAAGAAAAATTAAAGTAGCTTAAACATTTTAATGTAACATTTTCAGAAATCATTTTTATTCCAAAGAACAAAGAGGGTTAAAGGTACAAATTGAAAATAAAGGAAAAGGAAAAGTAAATTAATAAAAGTACTCAGTTACCAAAGGCCATGGTAGTGTGTAGCAGTAGAAACTCAGGAGAATATAAAAAGGCAGAAATTTCCCTCCAAATTAAGAAATTTTCCCACTTCTCCCTATTTTCCCTCCTTTAATCTCTAACCCTATACTTGCCCGCAACCCCCATCACTACACCCAAATCTCTCCGGCGGATTTCTCCGACGCTTCCGATTCAATACGATTTGATGCAGTTAGTATTTTATTTTTGTGTACTTTTTTCAGTTTTTTTCTAAATTTATTTATTCAATTGCGATACTGTGCTCTAAAGGCATAATCTTTGGCTTGGTGTCAATTAATATTATCACTATTATTGTGATTATGATTTTTTAATTATCTTTTGGTATGGAATTGTAGATGAATTAAAATGGTAGACGGTGGAAGAAAGAATGCGAACATTCCTGACCCGAAAACGGGTATTGGCAATACACAGCCAGTGGACGCTCAAATTTCACCTGCATCATTCCCACTCCCAGGCAAGTTTATTTTATTTTTTTTCTAATTATTTTTGGGGTAAATTAGGGTATGTGGATTATTTGTAAATATTATTTAAAGTTTTAATTTTCTTGCCTGTTAAGGATAAAGAAAAAAATTGAATCTTTTATTAACAGAAGATATGTTACTGCATCAGTAATATTTGCTGTATTATAAAGTTAGTTGGAGTTGATTTTATAAGCAGACGGAAATTTGCTGTTACGAGGTTGTATTGGTTGGTCATGGTCAATTGTTAGTTAACTGCTAAAGAATAAAAGAGGACGCATGCTCAAGTTTGGATTTATAATCAAATAAGTGTGTGATACGGTTTACTCTGTTAAGTTTTCTGTTAGCACTATGTATATTGATACCATTGTTTAGAGAGGGAACTCTTCAAGCAAGACTACTGTTCCCTTTGTCCCACCTTATGTGATGCAGTTACAAATTACACTTCGGAGAGTCAACAAAGTTTTTCTTTGACCGCAATGCCCTTTTTAATGTGTTATATTTTAATTATTGTGACTTATAGTACTTTATGTAGTTTCTAAATATGTTAATTTTGTTTCAAAAAACTTGAAGATCCTATGTTCGAATTCACACCGAAAATTAGATAGTTTGACCCTCGTACTCCGAATCGCATCACATTGACGGAGGGAGTACTACTTTTTTTCTTTAGGATGAGAAGAGGGGGGGGGGGGGGGTTTCAGAAGATTAAAATAAAAATGCAAAGTTAGTCAAATATGTGGGATATACTTTTTTTTTCTCTAAGATTTGGAACTCTAATTTGAAATTGCTTTTTTCCCTGACGATACAATTTGGTTTATATTTAAAGGCGAGGATCCTTAGTTGTACCGTAACCAAAGTATGGTTCCTGCTGATGACCGTCTTTTCTTCAATGATGCCTTTGAGACCCAAATAGTAAATCTTTGTGGTGAAAACCAGTTTTTGGATTTCGGTGGTGAAATGCAAGTGGTGGATTTCGGCGGTGAAACACAAGTTGTGGATTTCGGCGGTGAAACACAAGTGGTGGATTTTGGTGGTGAAACTCAACGGGTGGATTTTGGTGGTGAAACCCAAGTGGTTGAAGATCATGATGGTCTACAAAATGAACGCATCCGAACTTCTGAAAAGTGCAACGTCGAAGTTGCCGTAGATAGTGAAGGAAGTGATAGAACTGAGGTCTTATGTGATACTCAAGAGTTATCAGATGATTATTCAATGGAACACAGCTTCAGTTCTATTGATCGGGTGAAGTTTACTAAAAGCCGCAATTCCAACAAAGGTGATAGGAGTTCGATTTCACAATCAGATGTTCTAAGCAATGACAAGCATCATTCAGGTAAATTGGTTTCGCTATCATGAGATAATTCATTTTAATCGAGTTCTAACACTATACATGTTTGGCCTAAATTTATCATTTTACTATCTCTTTTCTTTCATTTTGATTATGCAGGTTCTGCATGGAACTATAACTGAGCAAAAAGTTCCCTTTCTTAATCCATACCTTAAATTTGCAATTAATTGAAATGTTCTTCTACGAGTGTAAAGTTGGACAAAACATTTTTCATCATCCAGTTTTTAAAATTCACTATAAATAGGCCTCCTCACTTAACTGGATCTGTATATTCTTTGCCAGTTCGTCAACTATCATGTATTTTGATATCACTGTTAGTATGTAATTGCTGACTTTGGTTCTGAACTCTCGGTGTCTACAGTTGGTCATTTCTGCTGTATCCAGGAAAAGTTTTGCTATTGAAAGAGAGGCTTGGTCTTCGCTTTCTCTGTTTTATAATAGAATCTAGATTTCTCTTCTCTTATTCAGTACATGAAGGTATTTAATATACACTTATCTGCTGGTACTTTTAGGTGGTTGATGAATTCCTTTTATGTTTTCCACTTTTATATTCTAGCCATATTCGTTGTCAGACAGAATGCCTTTGAAGATTTGATAACAAAGCTGCTTCAGAATTTTGGAGGTCTGACATTCATGTATTTTTTTCAGGATCTCTGCAACTAGGGTTTACTTCAATCCGTGCTACATCTGTCAGGGCTTCTGGTTTGGCTGCTTATGACATGAGCCATAAAGGGACAAAAGGAAGTACATGGTCTATTAAAAATGACAATCCTCTGGAGCAGGAAAGTGCAGGCCAAAATGGGACATCTATGGTTGGACCTCAATCTGAAGTCAGGAAGGAGCTTAACCCGAATGCTTGTGAGGAGTATGACGAACAAATGAATGATGTAGGTAATGGAAACCGGTGCAAAGTTGGTAGTTCAGCTGTGAGGAAACTTTTCAGAGATGAGATACTTGTTGAAATTAAAGGGTCAGAACATGGCAACAATGATGCTGAGAAGACAGTGGACTTGCCTCAATTTGCCTACAAAGATGGATTGGCAGGTTTAAGTTATGTAGATTCTCAAGAACCTGGAGAGGAGTCTCAGGCCAATGCACTAGATGTTGTTGACTAGTTTCTTAAGCTCAATCCTTTAGATTTTGATCAACATATTGACTTTGGGAAGTCCTCCATTGGAAAATCGAAATTTGTCTCTGCTGCAAAAGGGACAAAAAGTTTGGCTCGGAGAGCAGCTGAAATTGCAGATGCAGAGGGTGAGATTTTTGATTGGGATGACAATCGTGAAGATGAAGGAGGTGGAGAGTTTTTCCAGAAGAAAAAGGAACTTCTTGTTGGCAGGAGTCCTACTACTGAACCTCCGAAGCGTAGTTCACTTGACCCCCCCTTAAGACGGGGAGTTAAAGGTAGTGGAGAAAAGGAAAAGCACCCGTTGAGCGGCAAAAAGTTGAAGGGTTCCCCCCGTTCTGATTCAAGGTTATTGTCAAGTAAAAGTAGAGTGAAAAGTGAGCTGTCAAAGTCCAGATCTAGAAAGAACTTTGTTAAGAAGCTGGATGAACAACTCAATTCTGGGGCTGGTGATGGAATGATAGACGATGGTAATGGAGACGATGTTCCTGACATGCTAAATGTTGGTTTAGATACTCAAATGGCTGCTGAAGCTATGCAAACATTATGCTTTGGAGCTCCTGCTCTGGAAAATGATAGTAGCAGTGAGAAGAAAGGAGACAAGTCATTGACAGATGGTTCTTGCAAAGATCGAATTGATGATGAGAGTCTGTCAAAGCAAAGGTCCTCCAAGAAAAAAGCACGATCTTCAATAATGTCCATGAGCACAATGCAGAAGAATGCAAGATTAGTTGAAGAGAACCATCGAGAAAGAGTGAAACAACAGAAAGGTATCCAGAAGCAAGGCAATGAAGAACAAGGGACCGGATTAAAAATTATCAAGCTAAATATGACTAAACCCCATGCTTCAAGGGGAAGAGAAGAAGAGTTAAGACAGGAAGAAAGACCACCAAAAGCAAGTGCAGGTTCCATGTCTGTCAAGAATTGTCACTCCTTCACACCTGTAGCTCGTCGAACTGGGCAGCACCGTGTAGAGAGTCAACCAAAAAGACGTCTGTCTGCCGCTGCCACTTTTGATAGAAGCGGGACAGATGCTGATGTTTGTGAGACTTTGATGGATCAAGGTACACTCGCTACCAATCAAACTGCCAACCTAAGAAATATGGAATCAACGTGGGCCAACCTTTCTGCTGTAGACTATCCCAAAGGAAGAAGAAGTCACCGGAAGATGCCTACCATGGGGCAAGAGACCACTACTCAATCTAGTAGAAGGTCTAAAAGATTAAGAGGTGACCAGACAAGTACTTCAATTGATGTCAGCACAAAAAGGAGAAAGTATTCACCTGAGTGCACTCTCCCTGATATTGCTTCCTCAGAGAGGGGGTCTCAGAAGAAGCTCTTACAGGAAGGCATAGATAAAAGACATCTGGATGGTAACAGCACTAATGATGCTTTTGCTGATGGAAGTGCAAAAACAATTCTAGATAAGTCCATAAAAGATTCTAATAGGAAAACTAATGTAGAGATAACTAGATCTGTTGATGAAACACAGGGAACAGAATCTTCAACAGGAGAGCAGTGTAAAGCGTCAGCTGCAGCATGCACCACTCCCACCAATGCAAAAATCCAGAAGAATGCCGTGTCACCTATTTGTATGGGTGATGAGTATCATAAACAATCATGCAGGAAGAATATGTCAAGATCATCTCTTTTGAGAGAAATCACTTCCTTACATTCTACTGGAACACAAATTGGCTCCACCTTAAAAGATTCTAGGAAGAGGCGAGAAATGACTAATGTTCGAGTCTTGTTCAGTCAGCACCTGGATGCAGATATAATCAAACAGCAAAAGAAGGTAATTTCGCTATGATCTTTTCTTTGTTTGTGCAAAAATAGTATGTTTTAAACTGGAATCACCTTATCATCTCTTCTTGCAGATCTTAGCCCGGTTAGGAGCCTCAAGCGTATCCTCTATGTCCGATGCCACTCATTTTGTGGCTGATGAATTTGTTCGAACTAGAAACATGTTAGAAGCTATTGCTGTAAGGAAACCTGTGGTGACACATCTATGGCTTGAGAGTTGTGGACAAGCTAGCTGTCTTATTGATGAGAAAAATTATATCTTGAGAGATGCAAGAAAGGAAAAACAGTTCGGCTTCAGCATGCCAGTTTCATTTGCACGAGCATGCCAACATCCCCTTTTACAGGTAAAGATGCTGCCTTGGATGACTATTAGATCAGCAGCTGTGCTTTTCCTTTTCTCATAGTAATTTTTTTCAGGGATATAAAGTTTTTACCACTCCAAATACAAAGCCTGGTAAAGATATTGGCAAGTTTGGTGAAGGCAGTTCATGGTTTGGTGTTTACTCTACTCTTTACCCCTTTTCTATTTCACTTTAAAATTCAACCATTCTGGATAAGATATTCATATGGTCTATCCACTCACCTGAATCATCTTCGATGCCACAATGGTACCGTACTAAGTTCTGCTTTGAAAATAAAAGTGTTGTGTCAAGTCCAAAGCTAGCAGATTCAAAATGTTCAGTCTATCTTCTCATATATTGGTGCTTCTGTGAATACCTGTGACAAAATCAGTCTTTCATTAGTATGGTCAGGAGGATATGGTAGAGTGTAGGATTCCTATCCGCTATAAATGCAACAGGATTAGTTATGAAAGATTAGAACCAGCCTTATTAAATATGTTGGAATATCATATATTTGAGTGTGTGCTCAAGATGATGTCCATGGTAACATAGGTGATAAGTGGTGACATGTTAAAGATCATTAGTTTGACTTTTTTGAATATTAAGATCTTCATTAGTTTTGACTTTGATCTGTAAATAGGATGGCCAGCATTTCCTTAATGCTGATGAATACACTGTTACCATTTTCAGAAAAAAAAAAAGATCATTAGTTTGACTTACGGTAGCTGAAGCAAACATTTGTAACCAATTTTATGGAAGGTTTCTTTGATAGGGAAAACAAGTGGTATGGATTATAATCCACACTAAAGATGGACTGATTTGAATTCTTGAAACTTATACTCTATGGTTATGTGTAACAGTACATCAAATATTTTGGAATTCCTATAATTTGAAGTTAGTGTCTACTAGTGTTTCTAGTGTTTATCACTATCACATCCTCCATGCGAGAGTTCCATAATCAATCTGTATTTGTTCAGGCAGAATCCTCTCTCCGTAATTATAACTATTTTATTGACGGTTTGTTCGTGCTTGGTAACGCCTGTTCCAAATGTTTTTCAGGCAGTGGAGCGACTTGGTAGATCTGTTATGAAAGAGGAAGTTGTTCCTGACGATCTTCTAGTTTTATCTTGTGAAGAAGACTATGAAGTTTGCATCCCTTTTCTTGAGAAGGGTAGATTTCTTATTCTTTTGCCTTGTAAAAAGTTTTGTATTAATTTGAATAATCATGCAATCCCTCGTTACATCTACAGGATCAACAGTATATAGTTCGTAGCTCCTATTGAATGGGATAGTTACTCAGAGACTGGAGTTTGACAGGTGGTTTCTTAATTTCAACTGCGTTGATTATTTATGATACTTATGAGAAGTCCTGATGTTTGGGTGCGGGAATGTGCGGATGGTTCTCACTAAGATCTTAACATAAGATCAAAATGGGGTTCCTAAAATCTACTCTGATTTTTGTTGATAAGTAGTGCAACCAAAATATTGCAATATGTGATCCCATTTGGCTCCGAATTTTAGTTGCTGATATGAAGATGAATATCCTTCTGTAACCAGCCATATTTGTCCTGCAGGTACCGCCTCTTCACAGATTATATTAAGAGAACTCGTTCAACGGTATGGGTGAAGAAAAATAACAATCAACACCTAGCTGTTGCCAAATGCAAATAAGGCTTGAGGCTTAGTTGTCCTTTAAAAGAGTGGCGTATGCATTCCTTTAAGAGGCATATGTATCACAAGTGTAGGTATCTGTAAATTTAATTTGTTTTTAATGTATAGTGTTTCAGTCTTCTCTCATGCAATTTTGTGCTATATAATTTCTACCTCCGCGTTTATTTTTCAGAAAACTTGTCCTGTTGAATCTTGAACTGGCTTCAGATTCCAACTAATAATGGACATCCAAAAAAAGATAATTCTAGTTAGATGCCAGCAATTTTTCATCTACTGTGGTTCAAATGTCATATGGTCTTTTTTTCTTTTCATATGGTCAATTTCATGACAAGTATTACTAATGGAATTGGATGACTGGTTTGTTGCTTCAGATATGTCCAGTTTGCACCAATAAAGACCAGCATTACAAGCCATCTTTGACATAAGGTGTCAAATAGGTCAGGTGGGCTAATTCTGAAGATAAATGGAACCAACAAATAAGTTCAGTCATGATTCAATTAAAGTGTGAATCAAAATAGCTAGGTCAATTTGAATCAAACAATTTATTCCAAGTTGGGTGGGTTATTCTTCTGCGCACTAACCCTAGCTTAACATAATGAAACCCCAAATGAGAGTCCTTTTTTTGGCACTTAAAATGGCGAAAAATTACATGGTTTGCAGTACCTGGTAAATAACACCAGGCCTAAAATGGAATAAAACAACAATGATAGTTGAAATAAGAAACCTGATCAGATCAACCAGGGTAGAACCAGTGCTTTAGAATTTGATAATGTCCGTCCCAGCCTTACATTGAGCTCTATTCTCTAGCACTAGAGACAGAAAGAAGACAAGGGATAACTACCTTACCTATATCGGTATACACATTTGACTGCCAGATTTCTTGAGGTATCAACCACCTCATCACATAAGATGATGAGGAAAAGAAATAAGAGAAAATAATACGAAGAAAATACATCTTTAAGGTGAAAAAGAAGCATATACAATATTTCCTATACAACTTGATCATTTCACCATCATACTCATTTCATGCAGGGTTAGAATTTTCGGAGATTTGGACTCGCCAGGAATAGTATCGAATGTACATTGCATTGAGACTCATAGAGGCACCAAAACCCAATACTGATGCTATCATTACTGAATAGACTGCCTGCAATTGAAGCTGCCAAAAGACAAGATTTCCGGGCATTACTCCTCATTTCATATCTGCCAAAGGTGTTCTGTGTGTACACAATTTTCTTAGACCTTTTCTTTTCTGCATTGGGTTTGGTTGGGGTGGGGGTGCATGTGTTGTGAATCTGGTGCATCTTTCAATGGTTAAGACTTTCATCTAGAAATTTTTTATGGTTAAAGAAGACACGGGATCTTCAATGGACAGACTAGAAAATATCTAAGAGTTATCAAATATCAACTGCATAATAGCGAATGCATCTTACCATAGAGTAGAAAACATGCAGAGTAATGGCCACAAGAGCAAACTCTAGAGCGGCATATGTCCATATGTACTCTCTAATAGCTGCATTTCAAATGAAAATTCTATAACGCAAGTCAGCTAGTATTTGATAAATAAAATTTAGGGGCTCAGACGTACCTAGGATGACAGCAAAAATAGATGCCAAAAGACCTAGTGTAAACGCAAATGGTGCAGCAATCACAAGCGCCTGAGTTTTCATGTCATGAACCTTCAAGAGAGATTTAAAATATGAATTCCACAAATAACAAAATAAAAGATAACATTCCATGTAGTTGGTGTCAAAAAATTCCACCTTTCTACTTGAGAGTTGGAAAAAGATATAAAAGTTGATGGATGACATTCCACGTAGTTGGCGTCATCAAATTCCACCTTTCTACTTAAGAGTTGGCAAAAGATATAAAAGCTGATGGATGTGCATTCTATTCCAATGCTGACATCAAAATGCAGCTGAGAGCAAGCGCGCACACACACTAATGTTTTTAATTGAGAAAGGAAAGGTAATCAATTCTACAAATTATTGTTTGATAAAACTTTATGACCTTTTTTGCTTCCTAAGCCAGGTGGATATTTTAGGCAAATAATCAAATGAAAGAGTGCAATGAAAAATTATGCTCAATTTTATTATGTTTAGTAGTTTAAACTCTAATGAAATGTTACATAAAAGGACCAAGATAATGGTCTAATTTCTGAGGCAACATGGGCGGATTTACATATAAAAATTGGATGCTCGAGCACCCATTAGCCTCGACTCGGAGTATGTATAATTACATAGAATATTTAAGGGAACGGATATAATTAAACAACAAGCACCCAGTTAACAAAAAGGCTGGCGGGTGCTTTGGTTTAGAATGGGTGCCGGAGGGTTATAAAAATTGAAGGTTGAGAGTTCAAAACGACTCCTAGCAAGATTAAGATTGTTTTACTCCCTTTTTCTTTTCTTATATTATCAAGCACTATTTTTCTTTTGCCCAATTATTAGGCCATCTTTTTTGCTTTTCACCAGCGATTGTTTTGACCAAATACTATTTTTTTTCTCTGATTCTGACTTGTTTTACCTTTTTTTTTTTTTTTTTTGGGCTTTTCCTTCTACTTCATCTAATTCACTATAGCAAAGAAAGAAAACAAAAGTTTGCTTTAAACAAAATAAAGTGTTACTCTAGAACGGTAAAATTCACTAATTTTCTTTCTTGTCAATTGCGTTATCCAACACAGTTTTATGGCATCGGTAATATTAATAATATGGGTTTCTCATTAATTTTTTATCATGTTTAAATAGTTGCGCACTTATACGATTTGATTGGTGGTAACTTTACGTCAAATAAAGTTATGCACCCACGGACCCAAAATCTTGGATCCGCCACTATGAGGCAACACAATTATGCAGAGACGATATGTTGGAGAAAAATTATTGCTTTTGAATGCATCACCAGGGAAGAATAGGCAACACTGAGATAGAGTAACTGTTGGACATCTTAAGCTTTTCCAACATTATGGAACCAAGTTGGGGAAAATGAAAGAAATGCCATATAGTTGCACTTTGCTTTACTCATCCAGAATATATTCTGCTGTAATTTTTCACTTTCTAGCTATTCAAAAATCGAGCTCAATAATAGAGGTCATGCCATCTGTGCTTCAAAATCCTCTCTTTTTCTTGGATATGGTAAACCTCAATCCAATAGGAACCAAACAGTGGCTTTACCCACTTTGCTCCTTCAGTGACTCGAAAGCCCAACCTCATGGTTGGAGCTGGAGGATTCCCTTACTACTAGGCTATCTCTCACTTATTCAATCATCTCCATTTTTGAGAATATGTGTCTGCATATTATGCAATCATCTAGGCAGGGCCTTGATTGCCTCTCCTCTTACTCAGACTTATGATTTTCGAACTTTGGATTCAATTTTTTTGTTTTTTAAATCAGTTTTACCCCTGCAGATTATTATATAGGTAGGAAGTCTGTATCTTCTGCCTCCTCAGTTACATGCGAGCGCATGCATACACAACAGCAGAACTAAGAGGGAGCAAATCCCCCCC